GGATCCAAGGCAAGAAGGATGTCACTCGGGCATAGACTGTAGGAAAGTTGGGAAGACAGTACTCGGGCCCCCAACTCACCACGCCTACCTGGACCCAGGTCTCCCTCCATTTACAGACCAAGGGGCCCCCAGAGTCACCCTGTGGGAAGAGGAGACAGGTGGTCAGTACTCAGGGCCCCTGCAGGGAGGAGCAATGGACTGAGGCCACAGTCTGGGAGTCTCACATTGCAGGTGCCCCGGCCTTTGCTCCCAGCACACAGCATGTCGTCCTGGATAACATCGCGGTATTGCCACTGACAGATCTCATTCGCCACGATGGGGACCTCCGCCTCCTGCAGATTGTGGGGCGTTGGCAGCGGCTCTGTGAGAAGAAGCCCAGTGAGCCTGTGGTACTGAGGGGGCGTACAGTCACAGGCCTCGGGTTCTAGAACCACACGGTGAGCCTCAGTGCCCCCAGGGGGACCCTGGGAGTCACCCAAGTCCCCAACTGTCTGGGTTCACTCGAGGCCAATGGGCTGATAATCTCTAGGCTGACACTGTGGGCACCAAGCTCCAAAAAGAAACAGGGAAATATATTTTTATGCACAAATAATTTTTATTGGGAAAAATCAGAGTAGGTGCTTTCCCCAACAAATGCAGAGTCAGCGGCCCTACTGTCAAATTTGACTTTGTCCATTTAATAGTGAATCCTGGAGCACGTCACTGAAGTTCTCTCTCCTCGTTCTCCATCCCACTATCGAGACTCAGGGAGAACGGGGACCCCCGGAAGGGAAGACACAGGGCCTGGTGCAGAGTGAGGGAGACAAATGCCCATGGCACCCTGGCCAGTGTTCTCACTGGTTAGAGCACTGACCCGAAGGGTCCCAGGTTTGATTGTTGGTCAAGGGCAAGTACCTGGGTTGCAGGTTCAATCCCCAGCCCGGGCCAGAAAGGTAACTAATAGATATGCTTCTCACATCGATGTTTCTCTCTCCCCCTCCCTTCCACTCTCTCTAAAAATCATTGGAAAAAATATCCCTGGGTGATATTTATTTTAAAAAGATGCCCATGACCATGCCTCACTCTTGCTACTTTGGTCTCTGCTCCTTAACAGACTCCTCTCGAGCTGTCTGTCTTCCACACCCAAGGGAGACCCCGGAGGGACCCCAGCTCAGACCCCAGCTGAGCCTCCTCTGTAAAGCCCGGCCCGCCCCCTGCATCGCCCTCAGTCTCCTCCTCCCAATCCCACACGTCACCTGGTTCTCACCTTCAGAAGCAATGTCACCCCAGCCAGTCACCCAGCACCGTGTGCCTGGGAGGAATGCGGAGGAGGCTGGCGGGAGGCTGATCAACCCGATTAGGTTAGATGGTTGCACCGGGGCCTCCAGTTTGAGAAGTGCCACGTCCGCCCCAGCTTCTGGTCCCTGCTCAAGGCTGTAGTTTGGGTGGAGGATGATCCTAACCGCCTGCACACTGTCATTGTTTGAGGGTCTCACTCGTCCTAGTTGGACCTTAATGTGCCGAGTCTCTGGGTTTCTCCTGGGGACAGAAGGACAAAGGCTTCTGAGAGGCTGTGGCAGGGAGTGTGCCAGCCCCTCAGAGCCCAGAGCCCTCCCCTCTGTGGTGGCAAGGGGAGCGCCAGGGAGCTGAATCCTGGTGGGGGGTCTGCAGCCACTCAGCCCAGCATCTGCCCCCAACACACATCACATGCCTCCCGACATTGTCCACCCCCCCACCCCGGGTGCTGGCAGAGTCAGACTTACCCTGGAATGCAGTGGGCAGCGGTCAGCACCCACTGGGGATGGATGAGGGAGCCCCCACAATCGAGACTCCACTCAGAACTTGTTTGATACCAGAACCAAAGGCCCACCTGCCACGGCCACGCCCCATTGGCAGCATCATGCCCCCCCACGATGCCCACCAGCTCAGTCCCTGGGCCGGGATCTGGGGAAGCAGAGGAGGAGCCATCAGGGACCCAG